CAGGCGCTGTTATATTATCTTAAATACCGATTGAGATGTCATGAAGTAATTCTATGAAATTGTGAGTGCACAAAGTGCAACCCGGGTCAAGTGTTACATTTGCTGTAGCGCTTGTGAGGTTACAGAGGGTTTTTGTATCAGTTACAGGGTCTATGGATGTTGAGGAACTCCCTGCGCACGAGGCACTGGAAACTCTCTTAAGAGCCAAGCGCCGCCGCTGCCTTGGACCTGAGATTCAGATGCTCTTAGTTTTGAGGCAGCGGCTTGTAAAGGCGAATAATCCTTTGGCTGCAGTGACTTGCGCAGAGACGTCATGTGCTCTGTTTGTCGGAACGCTTCCCCTGAAAGGTAAGGTTACATCGCTATATCCGCCTACGAGGGCAGCTGAGCGGAAACACAGACCTGGAACTGGACAAGTCTTCGAAAATGTGTATAGAAATGTCAACTGTTGAGAAACATGCACTCAAAGTACCACATAAAGCAGAGGTTCTCCAAGTAAGCACTAAGAAAATGGCACAAAAGTCTCAACTTGAATGCTCATATGTTTGACTCGTAACTCCAGATGTTCAGAGAACATAGTGCAAGGAAAGAGATGGTCAAATGCAGATTTGCATGATGTTTGGCAAACAGTCTCCTCGAAACTCCAACACCCTATTGCAATGTTTTTATGCTTGCGACCTGCTGGAGCTGCTGTTGTCGCTGGGTGTGCTGGAGAGGGGGTTTGTCTTGCTGCTGCTGCTGTTGCTGCTGCTGCTGCTGCTGCTGCTGCTGGAAGAGGGGGTTGAAGTGCATAGAGGCGGGGTTGTCCTGCTGTTGCTGGGTGGGAGCTTCAGGTGCTAGTGGTGCAGGCTTGCTGAGTACCTGCTTGAGCTGCTGCCCCACTCGGCCTGCACTGAGGTGCTGGAAGGGCTCGCCAGGGCTGGGGAGGCGTCCTGCAGGCAGGTGCTGGCGGAAGGGGTAGGGAACCGGCTCCCTCTCCCGACGTTTGACCAGGATGCCTGTGCCCCTGGCTTGCACCACCAGTTCCTCCCCATACCCACACTGCACCCGGCCTATTTGCTGCAGCTGGATGGCCAGGTTGACGAGGGCATTCTGTAAATGCGTCCTCTTGAGGTCCAACACTGCTTGTGCTGCGTTGCTGCTGTCGCGGAACCCTGCGTACGCTGCTGTCGCTGCCTCCGCCGTGCTGAACTGCACTGCGTATCGCTGCTTACCTAGAGCGTTGTCCCGTATGCGCTCGACATGCTGCACGCTGCCCACGGCGCACTGCAAGAAGGCTTCCACCCCGGCTGGAGTTGCTTCACATGGCAATGCCCCTGAGTGCCTGGAGCGCACCAGGCGCACGCTGTAAAGGTGCTGCCGCTTTTCTCTGTCAATGCTGCACGCTGCTGCCCAATTGGAGTCTGCTGCTTGCTGGACGAGGTGGTCAACGTTGACCCGAGTTGCTCTGCTCTCCTGCTGCTGCTGCTGCTGCTGTTGCTGCTGTTGCTATTGCAGCTGCAATACCATATGGTTAAGCTCGTCGACCTTCTGCAGTAGCTGGCGCACTAGTTGCTCGGTCTCCATCTCTCCCTGTGTGTTGACAAACACAATTTGCAAACCCCCCAACTGTGAAAACCCCCCTTTTCTTCTTTTCTTTTTTTTTTTTCCCCTGAAAGTTTGTCCCCAAAAGTGTAATCAAATGGAGGTGAAAATATCCTTTTAATGCCTAGAAAATTAATAGTGCGGGCTTAAGACATGGAGCTGCAGGGTGTCGAACCCCGTACCTCGACTATGCTAAAGTCGCGCTCTGCCGATGAGCTACAGCCCCTTTGATGTCTATTCGAATCAAAAATTTTATTATATATATTATTATTGTATTTTAAAACGTTTGCCAAGTTGCAATGTCGATCCACCCGTTGATGGCCCCCATGAAGTGAAGCAAGCATCAAGAACAACAGAAATAGCTGTAGCACCAACTGCAGCAGCCCGGGAGGAGGGATTTTCCTCCAACCAGTTGGTGCTACAGCTCCCCTTTTCTCTCCCAGTCGTGCGCTCCACAGGGAGAGATGTATGCATGCACCTACAATCAAACATAGAGCCCCATCCAACCCCATTGGTATCCTCTAGCACGCCCAGTCCCTCCTCCAACATGACGACATCGCCCACACTGATGCAGACCAGCTGTTCGTTGCCACACAACCATCCGCAGCCCCTGGGCAATCACCAGTGCAGTTGGCATGCACATACGCCCCGTATCATCTGGCACCTGCCATGGGCAAGATAGAAGTGAAGGAGACTCGGTGGACCTTATCCCTGTGGGTGGACCTTCTCCTTGTTGTTTTAGTTGGCTCAGAAGAGCCACAAGCAAGCTTGTGGCTTAAGCCTCCACCACACAGCAGGAACAGAAAGGGTCTACAGGTAGGGGTCTGGGGGCTGCTGGGAACATGGACCCTGGAACCTCACTGACGCAGGGGAGCAGGAGCTCTTGGTTTCATGTATTACGTTTTTTTTTTTTAGCTGCTTGACCAACAGAGTGTGCATTAGTTTAACCTGCAAGGCTGCCAGATCGTTGAAAATTAAGGCCTGATTTCGAGCTAACCTATGGCAGGCTCTTTCCAACGAGCCAACATCCAGAAGAATGTGCGTGAAGTCACAGCTTTCCCACAAATTGCCTTGCATAATGACGCGGCATCCTGTGGCACTTCCTACTGCTAACTTGGTCATCATTCAAACGTGCATAGATTTCGGCAGCCTGGGAGCACATTGCCTAATTGATGACAGCCTAAGGTATATGGGAAAATGGATTTCCTGAAGCGGACGACATGTCTTTGGGGATTTTGCATGTGGGGCTTCCTCGGTGCGGGTGCACAAGACGTGTTCCTGGAGGCATTCCTGATTCTTACACCAATAAGCTCAACAAGCTCAAACTATGCGGTAGCCAACTACATGCAATYCGCTCAGTGGGGCAAAGAAAGTGTTGGACATATGACAAATTTTGGGTGGGATCCCCCTGACCCACCCACCACCCCCAAAGCCCCCACCTTCCAGTGCCCCAATCCAGGCAAGAAGGGCACCAATCTGCTCTTCTTCAAGTTCCCCAACTGCATACTCAATGCATTGAAAGAGTGAGTTGCAGCAGCGATATGGGGCAAAAACTGACTGCAGACGCCTACGCATGCTTGCCATGCGAAGCACCATTAAATGGCTTGCAAGTC